GTGGTAAAAGTTCAAAGTATACATGAGAACAGTAACTTCATGAAGAAGAGAAACCAGAGATTTGATTCTAATCCCAGCCCTACCTCACATTTGGCTTGTGGCAAATTGCTTTAACCTAATAAGCCTTCATCTGTAAAATAAGAACAATTCTCTAACTGCATGAGATTTTTCAAGGATAAAGTGTCTGGATAGAGGGTTGCTTAGTAATTTTTAACTCGTCTTTTTCCTCACCCCTGTATTTGAAGGGTGAGAACCACGTCTTTAACCTTTTGCTCCTTCACACCTCCCCAAAAGTACAGGGCAAGAACCCTGCAGAACCTTCCATGGGGTCAGATTTAGAACCTTGAACTATCTTACAGTGACAGAACAGCCAGGGACAGAAGTACAAATCCATGAAAGCCTGGGAACTGGACATGAAGCATAAATAAATTCTAAAAAACAGGTGGGATTGAAGGACATTCTCTTTGGGGTCCTGCTAAGCTAGAAAGAGCATTTGACAGAATTCTGTGAGCATGTGGGTCCCTATCCCCTCACCTGATAGATGTAGGGGCCAAACAACAGTGGCCACTTTATTCCGAAGTCAGTGCAGTGTTCAAGGGCCCCATGATGGGGGGCCCTCCACGGAAGACTAGCCACGCATGGCCAGCATCAGCCGGGGCGTTGCTGACTGCAGAGGCTTCTGACCTATCTTCCGTGGGCAAACTGACAGCTCCAGTTCTGTGGCACCCTCAGTCCTGGACATCCTGGGCTTGGTGTGGGGTGTGGCTTTGCAAAGCAATAAGCCAGATCCAAGCAGAGAGGAAAGAGAAAAAGGGCTGTTGAGGCAAAAAGCAAGAGACAATGGAGTTATAGGGTCTCTTAGGCCCACTTCCCATAGTGGAGAGCCACACTCTGGTCTCAAGGAGATTCCAGAAGATAGAAGAGCTAGGGGAAACTGCAATGCATGGTCAGTGTGTTCATCAGAGGCATGGAGATATGGGTGAACCACTTCAGAACCCCAGTGTTACAAAAGGCCTGAAGGTGTTAATGAAGTGTCCTGGCCTCTGTCCTTTTTATTTCTCCTCAGGGCACAGATCAAGGATATTCCTTTCAGCAGAAGTTTTCACATATTTTTTTCTTTTCATTTTTGCTGATGCCTAAAGGTAGATCTCTAATGTTGAAACAGGTGAGAAAAGTATTTAGGGTCTTCCTAAAAACACAAGTAGATGCTACCCACTCGAAAATCCAGCCCGGAAAGGATGCGATTCCACAGCAAAAGGAAATCTACTGCATGCTGGGCTGTTCACTTCCCCATTTTCAATAGGAGAAGTTCTGTTGTTTGCTTTTTTAAAAAAAGATTTACTTACTTATGCATACAAGCACTGGGGTACAGGCCAGAGGTGTGGGCGGTGAGAGGACTCATCAGAGACAGTGGGGAACAGAACAGACAGATTGACGGAAATGCACTGCTGAGGAGGCCCCAGGAGAAGCTCTGTATCAAAGAGTCCTAAAGCATTTGAAGAGAGAAAAGGGTCCACAGAAAAGTGAGGAGTCACTCCTTGAGAAGTCACGAGAGCTCCTGGGAAGCGCGTCTCCAGGGAGATTTGAATTTAACACACACTTACAGGACCCCATGGATGCACGCGAGTCCTCAGGGAGTCGCTGTGGCAAGTGCCTGTAAGATACCCAGGAGGAAACAGCGCTGCTGTTCTTAAGTACTGTAAAGGACTCTAAAGCAAGAGTGGAAGAAGCAAGAAAGGAGAAAGGGCATTAGCATTGAACGAGCATTTCCCATGTCGGGAGCTTTGCAAGCCGCGTGCATATAACGTGCGCTGTGAAATCACCAGACCTGAGCTCCAGAGCAGGGGCTGAAGTCCACTTGCATCGGGCAGTATTTTCTGCTTCAGAGGAAGTGAGACACTGGCTTCGGGGTCTAACCAATGGTATAGCCTTATTATGGCTACCAGTTAGATTTACATGCCCTGAGCAACTGAGAGCCAACTATGGCTCCAATCCCTGGAAATGTTAAAGGAAAGAGAGGATGTGATTTACTCTCTAGCAAAGAGATTGTCCAGAATTAGAAAGAATTCCAGTTTGATTTTTTTTTTTTTTTTTTTTTTTTTGTATTTAGGCAGGCTTCATCTCTTTGAACTCTTACTTCCTACTGTTTATGGGGGCTAATAAAGCCTTTCTAATACAATAGTTATAATTACACAGCTGCAAAGATGAACCAAATGGAAGTACAGAAGCTAAAACATGATGGGTATTTAATGCATGCTCCCCACCTTGCAGCTGGAGGCTTCTCTGCGATAGAGAAAATGCATTGCAAAGCTTCTCCCTGGCACTATCTCTATCTAAAAGGCAAATTAGAGCAAATTATTTTGCTTTTGACTTCATTATTATTGCTTTTAGTTGTAGTTTACAAAGAATTTTTCATGGATCTTCTTTTCCCTTAATGCTACCAGAAGGCCTTATCAGTCACCATTCATAGCATTCTTAGCACGGTGTGAATGAGTGTGAGGTGCTTCCCCCAGGAGCAGTTTGGTGGGGGGAGCAGGGAACAGGAGGGCATGGCACTAGACTTCCAGGATCTGGGGAGAAAGTCAACTTCATAAATTTGAAGGACAGATGAGTCCTGCAAATCCTCTGCCATCTTTGCATTTTTTTTAGTATATTTAAAAATTATTTTATTTTTATAATTAATTTTCTTAGTAATTAATTTTTTTTCTTATATCATTGTATCACCATAGGTCTCCTGTCACCGTATCACCTGAGAACCATCACCATATTTCCTTGTGTTCACCCTTTCCTGGTTTTGTACCCCCATCCCGTGCCCCCAGTCCCCTCCTTGGCTGGATGCCTCAGTTCTATGAGCAGCTTGCTAGTTTTGACTTTTTCTTGTATATTTATACAATGGAATATTATTCAGCGACCACAAAAGACAAACTCATGCCAGTTGCAGCCAACATGGACAGGGCTGGAAGAGATTATGCTGGTCAGAATTAATCCGAAGGAAAGAGCTAAATAGCGGATGGTCTCACGTATATGTGGAATAGAGAGAAACTGATCGAAAGGTCAGGAGAAAACGCGACTGTCTTTTTAATGAACACTTTTCCCCATGCCTTATCAGCTTGGAAAGTTTTTTGTTTAACTGAAAAAAGCAAGACAAACTGTACATTTTCTAAAAAAGCAGAAGCAATGACTTTTTAACAAAGTAGAAACAACTTTTGAGCAAAACTGTATAGATTCATGATTGAAAGTTATTGTTTGTGCAGAAACTTACCCATTCCCACAAACCTTAACAAAACTGAGAATCATAATCACAATGACAGCTTTAATCAGGGTTTGCCTTATAAAATGAATATTCAGTGTAGATAGAAGTCATAACTCTCAGGAAATGATTGGCTTTAACCAGAAAAGACAAAGATTAATTTTTCAATGTACAATATTAAGGTAATATTTCTTTAGCGCTCATCTTGCATACTAGGGAAAGCGGTCTCTAGTTGCATGTGTAGAATAGTGAATGGCTGAAAGAAATTTTTACTTACTCAACCCAGAGAGGATGGGATTATGAAACAGGTTCTTGTTAAGAAATACAGAGGTTTTAACTATTTTTGGTTGCAAAACGGATGTTTAGTTCACTTTCTGCTCTGTGCTTTCTGCATAGCATTCAGAATTATAACTGAATTTGCTTATGGCTTCAGGTAATAAGGGGTTTGAAATCAGTCTATAGTGACAACAATTTACTTTTTAGGTCAAATCGTTAAGTACATGACCCAAGGGTTTCTTTCCCATTGGGGTGATTTTCCAGTAAAAAGTGACTGGAATCAGAAGAATGGTTGGCTTTTATTTTCTCTCTTTCCCCACCTAAGTCAAGTGTTTGAGGACAGTCAAGGAGGACAGGAAGTTGTCCATAATACCTTGAAAATAAATACTTGAGTGAATCAGGTATAAGGAAGCTCTTAAAGACCAGGAAACTTACACCTCTCCCTTTATTTTACACGCGTACAATGTTTTGAGTTTACATTCATTTTTCAATCTTATCTTATTGTTATAAATTATTATTGATTCACTCAAAACCAGGGATGATTTATGCACAAAGTTTACAGGCAATTCTCTACAACCTTAAGAAAAATGAAATTATTTACACCTGCAGTAGGTACACTTTGAGTATGGTTTTTTGTTTGTTTTTTAAAGCAAGTTAAAATCAGAAGTTGCTACACATGAGAATAATCAAACATTTAACTTTCTGTTAATAAATAGTCTGGGTCCAGCTGGAAATTCAGCATCCAGAGAAGGTAGGAAAATGTAGCAGGATGAAAACCTAGAGTCCATGTCACTTAAGTAAGCTTTCCAGTCTTTTATTAATAGCCATGCAAATATCTGGGCAAAATCCTAAAGAGGTTCTTAGAATCAGCCCTTCCTTTATATCTAAAAGGTTCTCCTAATTGTCTAATTAAAGACCCTTAGAGATTAGTCTGAGTTAAATAGAGGGAAAAATGATACAAAGCCAAGGCTGGTTTATTGCACAGTACGCTATTTCTACCTAGTGCAATGTTTAATATATTAAGTCAAGTGATCTGACAATACCGCTCTTGTCAAGCACCTGTAATAGTGATCTGATTCCTGCCAACCGTATTTACTGTCGTCACTTATGTCAAGGGATTAAGGCACCTCAATTTTGTGGGAAGCAAGCGACGTATAAATTAATTAGACAGTAAGAACAATTTCTAAGGGGTGACTTTAATCACAGAACCAGCCCTGAATCTGAGCAAAACTCTGAAATGAAAGTGCCACCTCCCCTCTCACGACCCCATCGATTTTTGTGGATAATTGAAATAAATAGATAGAAATCTAATACTGTGGCCACTGGATAAACACAGAACCTGGAAGTAACTTGCTGTTTCCTAAAGGAGATGAATCTAATGATAAACTTAAAGAAAACAAACCAAAACAGAACTCTCCACCAGCAGCAAGGGGACAGGCAGGCATTACTGGGTCAGAGTTTAGGAAATACTTACAATCATTATGAATGTCCCCAGGAACTCGGAGAGCGTTTCTTTGGCTAAGCTGCTCTTCAAGACCAGTCTCTGCTTGAAGCTTTTCCTCTTGGGTCCCTTCTCAGGCTTCATCTTGGGGCTTCTCTAAAGACCACTCTTCCCACCAGCGCTCGTTTCTTCTGGTCCCTACTTCACTGGCACGTGAAAATGGGAGTTTTGACAACGGCTCAGAGATTCCTGGAGATGTCTGGTGAGATTCTCTGACTGTACAAACAGTGTCCCAATTACAGCCTGTGACTTAATCCTCCTCTGGTAAAATTGTCATTCCTTGTTCACTGCTGTTTATTTGAATTAGCGAGTTAGAACCTGAAATCCCCAAAACGATCCTTTTTGTGCCTGATAGATTAATCATTACCTTTATTCTCAAGGTATTTTTTTCTCTGTTGGGCTTTTTTTTCAAGAGATGAGAAAAGAGATGTTGTGCTGTTTGTGTTGCCAAACCACAGTGATGGGATCCCGTCCAGAAGAGATTTACATGTTACACAATTGCAGGCTTCTGTTTTTTTTTTTTTCTTTCCCCTATTCAGAAGTGGGTGGCTGTGTGTAGTTTGGATTGTCAAATCACATATATATATACACATGCAGTGTAAACATTCTTTTCTGAAGCTTTTTATACAAACTGGAAAACATGAAGAAAAGGCAGATGTGCCGCAAGATCAGCCACGTTTGTTTTCTTCTAACACCATTTCAGCAATTTAATGACACTTCCCTGAGGGTGATAAGAACTTGTGCGTCCACTCTAGAGAAAAAGAATTCATACACACAGAGACTATTGCAAGCTTCCACTGTAGGTCCATAGGGCAGGATGGGATTGCCTCCTTGGTAGTGAAGTAGATTTCAGCTACGAGGATGGTCTGGGATGCACAAATTACAAAGATGGAGAAGGCAATTGAGACTGGATTTCTTCTGCAGAAGGATACCGGTTCAAAACCCAGCTTACTCCCTTTAATTTACCGGTAAATATTTAGGCAAAATACATAGAAAAAAAATAGCAGCTTGAAAATCTAGATTGCTTGGAGATCATTGAGTGAGAAAGATCAGTCTGAGCACATGTTACCCCATAAGAAATGGAGTAAATACACCTAGCCAAGTTTCCTAGGTTATTCCTTTTAAGTTTGATGACTCAACATCCTTGCAGGTAACAAACCATGTTTAGGACTACCTTCTTGTCATGTCAAATAGCCAAGCCTTATTTTTCAAAACTAGTTTGTCTGATGAAATATTATAGAATCTAGCAGCAGATTGTGACAAGCAAGGCACTTCCATGGAATTCTTTACTACGCTATGTGCTTCATCCCAATCCTTCCACAGAGAAGCCAGGTCTGTTTTAAGCCCTCTCCTACCTTTGGAAGAGGCTGACAGTCATTTCCAGTTGAAGAGGCACGTGGGAAGGGAAAGAGGTCTGGAGAAAACAGCTGCTGAGAGTTCCAGGGCAGGAGACACCTACTCTGTAGATGAAATGGAATGTTTGGGTCTAAAGAAGTTGTAACTTGCCTGGGGGGACACACACAGCATTGCAGAGTGAAAACAAGAATGCATCCTTTTGGCTTTAACTCCTGGTTATCATGGATACCATTGTCTACACAAATTATCTTTGACTATACTATTCCCGTGTTCCAGTGGATGGACCAGAGAAACTGGACTTTATTGCTGTGACTACATCTAATACCACACAAGGGTGCTCTTTGGTCTTTTCATTCACTCATCTAACAAATATTTATGGCTACTCATGATGTGCCAAGCACTGCACTTAGCAAAAGCACAAAGGCTTCTCACCCTTCACAGAACTTAGAGTCTAGTGAAAGAAACAGATGTGAATGAAATAATCATACACACAAATATAAAATCACAGTTGACATGTCTGCAATGAAGGAAGGGCACTTATTTCTATGAGTGAATATAAAAGGGGGTTTTCACCTTGGCAGAGCTGAGGAGAGAAGTACAGGGATTAAGTACCTAAATGGGGAAGGAAGAGTATGTACAAAGGTCTTGGGGGTGAGTGGGGACACCATGATGCCTATCCATGAATGAAAGAGATCCACTGTGGCTGGCTTCCAAAACGAGTAAAGAGCATGGGATAAAACGATCATGGGCAGGGATCAGCCATATTGAGCTTTGTAAGTCATGCATAGGACAAAGGCAATATAATGCATGCGGTGGTTTAAGAGGGAACATGACACCATCACATCTGAATTTTGAAGAGATCATTCTGGCTGCAAGTTAACAGATTGGTGGGACCTAAAAGTGGGCATAGGTAGACCCATTGGGAGATATCTGAGTATTCCAGCACTGGGTGGTGGCTTGACAATGGAAAGAAATGGATGAACTTGAGTTCCTTGTATCTAAAAATTCAAAAGACCTGGTAAATTAATATGGAAGATAAGGAAAAGGAAGTCATCAAGGTTGATTACTGAGTTTCCTGGCTTGCTGGTATAAGTGATGCTAAGTCTCTTCCCCTGAGAAGAAACTCAGGGAGAAGACCAGGATTTGTCCTGGAAACACAGGAATTCTTTTTTTTTTTTTAAGATTTATTTTTTGGTTATACAAGAACTGGGGTATGGGCCATAGGCATGGGAGGGTGAGAGAATTCACCAGAGACAGAGAGGGGAGCAGAACATGCAGAAGACTGAAGACACTGCTGAGGGGAACAGTGGGCGAGACAGGAGAGATCTGCAGCGCCATGTGGGTATCTCCCTGGCTGGCCGGGAATCAAACCCACACTGCAGAGGCTGCTGACAGCTTCACAGCACAGCGCTCAACCAGCAGTTAAGGCCCCAAAACACATGAATTCTAAGTGTACCTGGTGAGCCTCAGGGCCTCTGTTGCTTCTGAAAAAAGATGTCATAGGAAGTGATATGAATCTGGATTCACAGGGAAGGTCCGTGTGTTCCTTGGGGTGACAATTGAAACCATGAATAAAGAAGAGGTCACTTAGGGAGAGAACAGAGACTGACTTTGTGATACTGAACTTTTTTTTTTTTTATTTATACAAGCACTGGGTACAGTCAGAAGCGTGGGAGGGTGAGAGAATTCACCAGAGCCAGAGCGGGGAGCAGAGCAGGCAGAAGGACCGAAGTACACTGCTGAGGGGAGCAGCGGGCAGCAGGAGAGGTCTGCGCGCCATGCGGGACTCTCCTCCAGTGGCCGGGGAACTGCCGGGGATCGAACCGGCGCTGCAGAGGCTGTGGGCAGTTTCGCAACCCAGCGCTCAACCGCTGCGCCACCGGGAAAGCCCGTGATACTGAACTTTTCATGCCAGATAGAGAATGAAATTTTTATTACCTTTCATTCCACTTTCAGTAACATGTCTCACCTCCATCACCACAAACCACTCATCATCAAACATAGCTCACACTCCCCAGCCAGTCACCAAGCGAGCTATTTAAAAGCTTTCAGCCAAGGCAAACAATGAGCAACATTACCTCTAACTGGGAAAGCAGCTTTACAGAGCACCCTCCTGTGTAAATTCCTCTTGGAAATATGGGACTGCTTCGTAGATTCCATTCACTTACCCAGAAAAAAACTTTGAGTATTTACCATGTAAAAGAGCACAACATTAAGCAGCGGGGATTCAAAAAGGAAGCTAATCTCCAGGTAGGTAAGTAGGTAGCCTATGTGACAAGGAAGTAGGTGCTAAGGAAGTACGTAGCCTATGTGACAAAGACCTCCAAATGAATACATCATATTGGTAAAATAGAAATATATGCCAGGGCCTCCCCGGTGGCGCAGCGGTTGAGCGCTGGGTTGCGAAGCTGCCCGCGGCCTCTGCGGCGCCGGTTCGATCCCCGGCTGCTCCCCGGCCACCGGAGGAGGGTCCCACATGGCGCGCAGACCTCTCCTGCCGCCCGCTGCTCCCCTCAGCAGTGTACTTTGGTCCTTCTGCCTGCTCTGCTCCCCGCTCTGGCTCTGGTGAATTCTCTCACCCTCTCGTGCTTCTGACTGTACCCAGTGCATGTATAAACAAAACAAACAAACAAATAAATAAATAAATAAAACATGCCTCTAAAAAAAAAAAAAAAAAAAAAGAAATATATGCCAAATAGTATCCTAAGCCAAAATTCTAGCTGTCACCACATGGACAACTGAGAGATCACTATACACTGAGAATATATTGGCTCATCCTGCACAAGTTCTCAAGTTGGGTTCCCTTAGATGTAGTGCCGTTCTGGATCTCCACAACGAGCCTACCCAGCTCTTTTAGTTCCTCCTGTCCCTGTCCCTCCATACCCTAATATTCTTTATGTCTGGTGTTGCCTTGAAGAGCCATCATGGCCTCCACTCATGGGATTCACTAAATTTCGTGTTCTTAAGGGTAACCATGTTTGGCTCCCTTTGGCTTCACTCTAGCTCAGAAGCCCCTTGGATGTCTACTTTTGGGACTGTGTCACTGTTATAGAGCAGCCCCGATATTAAACGGGTTCCTGGCTGTGGGTCCTCACCTGCGCGCTTTAAAGGGACTTATGAATACTCTACTACAGACACACACAAAAGGTTAATAAAAGGTTTATTTACAAGAAAAAAGGAAATAAGGAAAATGTACAACTCAGGGAGAAAATAGGGAAATAAAGTCTTTAATGCGTCCTACCCGATCCGACGACCTGGAAACCCAAAGTCACTCTGCGAGCTGGCGGAGAGCCAAAAATGGGGGATCCTCCAAAGCCCACGTGTCTGCCTTTTGTATCCACCTGGCTGCTTAACCCCACCCTCAGGTCCCAGCCACCTTCCCTTTGGTGGTGATGGGATTTGGAGTTCCCAGTGTCTTTGACTTTGACCTAGGGTGGGGGTGGAGTCCACAAAGCCTATATGGAATTAGCTTTGGGACATCCTTTTCCCCCTAACATCACCATCTCCCTTTTTCAAATTTTTGTTTTTACACCAAGACACAGCTCACTGACTAAAACTTCCAGTTCTCACACTTCACCCACTCTCTGACTTTCACAATTCTGCCTCCCATCCTCCTCATAAATTCCAGTCCTTCAACTCCTCCCTCTCCACCCATTTCTTACCTTATGATTACCCAAGTTAATCATGTACTTAACAACATCTCAGATTTCATCGACCCATTGACTTTTTTCTACACCCACAGTGCCAAAGCCCAACTTTGAAGAGAGCTAGCTATCTGTCCTTCTCAAATTCTCTCTTCCCAGGCTGTTGAATGATGCTGAAGAAAGTCATATAAATGTAATATTTGACCTTTGTTCATAAATTTGTATTCTAGCCTAGCAGTGAGCCCATATTCTTAACCATTTATTTCAAAGTTTCCAGATTTTAGTGGGCTTTAGGATTACCATAGTCAGAGACTATGATTTGGTAGATCTGGGACTTATCAGGAAGTTCATAAGATACCTGATAATTTATGCCTTGCCTATTTCATTCTGTGTAGACCATTTTCTTTGGTGCACCCAGCCCAAAGTTTCAACCCTCCTACTCAGTTGATTATTTTTTCTCCCAATCCACTTGGCAAACAAGTGAGTTCACTGGCTAGTATATCTTTTGTGCCCCTCCTACTCAAAAAGGCTGCCCTAAGTTATTTATGTTGCCCTTTTTTTTCTTTTTCTTTTTTCTAAAGTTAGTCCTGATGCTGGCATTCTGTTATAGCATCTCCAGAACCTTGATTGATTTAAAATCCCCTTACTTCTGACTCTCTTTCTCTTGATGACTTTTTTCCCAGCACCTAAAACAAGCTCAGAGCTTTCCTATCCTGAACAACATTGCTTAAAAATTTTTTCACCTTAAATTATATTGTCTTGGTCAGGCTGCTATCACAAAATTTCATAGACTGGGCAGCT